TATAATTTTATTTGTATATAAAAAAATTAATAAAAATAATTATAAAAAATGAAATAAGTTCAACCCGCAAGTTAACCCGTAACCCGTTAGAGTCGGATTAAGATTAGACTTTTTTAACTCTCAATCCGTTTATGACTCAATTCATATAACTCGTCACCCAACTTGATCCAACCCGAATCCGACCGAACCCGTCTGTTTGCCAGGCCTAGCGGTGACTATGAGCTTGATAAGGAAGCTCAGGAGGCAGCAGCAGCCACAGCCAGAACCATGGCCGTCGCGATGGTAGGAGCGGACAGGTGGGACGGCGGGGCCGTAGTAGGCTCCGTTCAAGTGGGAATGTTTCTCTGCCATGGAATAACACAAGAAGATATACTCTGTTTTTTGAGGAGATGAATTGGAGGAGAAAACAGGGCGGAATGTATTTATAGGGAGAATAATTAGAGTGGGAAAAGGAATTTGAATCGGGGATGCTACACGGCGGGAAGATAATGCGCGCGTTAACAGACGCGGTTTAATTCGTCGAATGTGGGTGGATAAAAGAGGTACGATTTTTGGGGTTAAATTAAAGAGGAATGCTAGCTGCACTCGCTTTTGTCCAGCACTCTCCAACACTCTGTCATGTAAAATGTCCACGTAACAAAATTTGGCTCGCAAATCAAAGTTTCCAACTAAAAAAGTTCACGTGGCTACTTTAGATGAGGGAGTGTTGGAGAGTGCTGGAGAAAGGTGAGTGCAGCTAGCATTCCTCTAAATTAAATAGGTGCATTGTAGAGTGGTGCATGGAACCTTCCTAATCCTGTATAATTTGGGTTTTATATGTTATTTTACTTTAAGATGTTGACTATGGGTTCGTTGCAAGAGAAAAATGTCAAGGAAAATTGTAATGGTTTGGTTCTACATCCAATTTGACAATGATGTGAAGGGATTATTCAACAATTGATGTTTTTCGTGGCTTAACATGTTACCATCATGTTTGAGAAGAGTATTACTTTTTAAAAACCTCATAAGGTTCAATTTATGAGTAAGTTAGGTTTAAAATTTAAAATTTAACGTTAACATTTAAGAAAATTAATTTTTAACGTAATTTATTGAAAAATATTACAGGCCAGTTACTCAATATCTAACTGGGACCATTAAATTATTATTTTCCTACGCGTTGCGTTGGAAAATCATTTTTTAGGAAATTAAATAGTCAATATCCTTTTCGTTTTCCAGTGTTAGGCGCTGAAAAACAAAAAGTGCGCAAAAATTTTTTTGGCGCATTACTATTTTCCAACGCCCATCATTGGAAAATAGTTGTCTCACTCAAATAATAAGGTGAAATTGAACATATGTTAGCAACCGTCAGTTTCTAGCATAACGCACTGGAAATTAAGTTTTATCATTTGCCAGCGCAGTGCTGCGGTGGAAAATAAGCGCTGGAAAAAGGGAAAAATTCTAGTAGCAAGGTACATGAGTTTTTAAACTCCACCCACATCCATGCATATTTAAAGTCTTGCAAATAAGCCCTTTTTAGTAAATCAATAAATAAAGGATGTTTTTATAAGTTGAAATAAAACCTTTAATTTTAAACAAATTAAAATTCTAGTGGCAAGGTACTCTTCGTCTTCTGTGTTTTCGCTCTCATGGCGGAGCTCCTTTATGTTCTCTGGCGACGGAGAAGGTTCCGGCGCCGGAGCGTCAGTGCTGGTGGGGACTCGGAGATGTCCGGGGCCCAGTTCGACACTCCTTCGAAGGAACTTCTCTACTTCTTCTGCTGGAAGAACCAGTCCCGGTTGGAGCCCGCGGGTGTCCCGCCGGTTTTGTCTGATGTTGCGCGAGACACGGAGGCCCCAGTGGATGATGACGTGGAGAAGTGGCAGGCGCCGTACGGTCCCTCCAGGCTTCTGTACACGATAAAGGAAGAGGAGAAAGAACGGGCAGAGGGCAGCGAGTATTCCGTGGAAAGTGAAGCCAAGAGCAGTAGCAGGACGGTTTCTTTAAGAGACGCTTTGGCGGCCAGGGTTTTAAGTGAAGCCGCTCTAGCAGCCGCCACCCTCGCCGCCGTCGCCGATGAGGTGGAGATGGAGGTGCAGCCGGTGACGCCGTACTACACTCCTTCGCCTTCTCCAAGTCGTGAGGGGACCTTGATTTCAGGGGAGAGTGGCGGTTCAAGCGAAGAGGAGATGGAAACGGAGACGAATTTTCTGAGCATACGTGTAGAAGAATGATATCTCGCCGGAAATACGGCCGGTCTGACCAAGTAATTATTAAATACAAACGGTTGTATTTTTAAAAAGTATTTCCGTTTCTTGTATAGTGCTAATTTTCGTTAATTATTATGATCCTATTAACAAATATATCTAGGCAATGACACTGATCTTGACACGTCAAGTGTGAGTTGAGGTGGAGTGATCAGGATTGTTGACCCGTAATTTTGGATGTTTATTATATTTTAGTAGTAGTAATTTCCATAATGTAAGGGTTACCGATGAAAGCTTCCCCTAACTAATACACCTAGTAATATTAACTTAAAAAATCTAGTTGGGGATAGGGCATATCTCATAGATTAAGTTGATATATTTTATTACGGTAATTATCAATAGAACTTATAATATATATATATAAAGACAGTACTTTTTTTGACCAGGTAGATGGTTAGGAAGTTAGTAGAGTTAGTTTGTTAGCCGCTGGAATTTTTCCAGAAAAGTGAACGTTCCACCTCTCATTTGAGGCACGCGACCATTAGGTCGCAAGTTGGTGGAGTTCACGGCGGTGGCAGAGCTCGAAGCCCTGACCTCCGCCTCACCCAAACCCTAAAGCTTGGGGGCCAACCAATTGGGCCACAGGTCCGGTTGGCATATAAAGACAATACTAATTAAAATATTTGGATAGAAAGGAATGAAAAAGCAAGAAAAGGAAGGAAAAGGAAGGGAAAAGAAAAAAGAAATTTTCTTTTTAGTTGTAAAAAAAAATTAGAGATTGGTTATAAAAAAATTTAGAGGTGAGAGGAGGATAAAATTTTCAATTATTTTATTTTTTCTAATTTAATTATTTATTTAAATGAGAAGAGGAGCGGGGAGAAGAGAAAAATAGTGAGAAATAAAAGAAAAAAATCTCCTTCTTTTTCCCCTCCGCTGCCCTCCCCTCCTCCCCTCTCCTTTATTCCCCCTTCTCCCCTACCATCTATCCCCTTCAACCCAAAGATTGGGCAAGGGTTAAAGTGCGGGGATTCATATTGGATTGCATATTAAAAGTGACTTATGAAAATATTAGTCTCTTTATCTTAAAGATAATTGTTATTTTTTAATTTTATTTTTAAGTTAAATATTTAAGAATAATATTTATATTTATTTATAATATTTTTTAAAAAGATATTAATGTATATCAATCTTGACTTTAAAAGAAATTAAAGTTTTAATTTACATTTAAAAACAAAAATTCTAATTTAAAATTTTAAAATTTACTTTATTAAATGTTGATATTTAGATTTAAAAATGATTATATATTTTAATATAATCAATTTTTAAATTTAGATATTCACATTTAATAAATGAAATTTTAAATTTTGAATTAATGTTAATTAAATAAAATGATATAATTTAAGATTAAAACTTTAATTTATTTTAAATCTTAAAAAATTAAAAGATAAAGAGAAATTTTCTATAATTAGATAATTAATTAAAGTGAAAGAATATTTATAAGGTTAAAATTAAAAATTATTATTATTTTAAAATGAAAAATATAATATATAATTTTATAAAAAATATTTTAATAAATTTATAAATTAAATTATACATTAATTTAAGTTATAAAAATACCTTTTGTAGAGTGAGACATTGAAATCTTTGTATTTTCAAAATTTAAACAGTATAATTTTTTTTCTTTTTTTCTTTTTTACTTTGAACCTCTAGAAAATGAGCGAAGGGCCGGATTAGTATCAATAACTTTTACAAATTTAAATCTCTGAAGTCTGAACTCCACTGCCAATTGCGGAAGCATATACAGTAGCTTCCGATGGACGAAAAACAAAAAACCCAAAGGGACGAAAGTAGGCAGTGATTACTAATTAGATGTACATGAAACATTTAAAGCAACGTCAAAAATGTGTCTGAAAAGCAACAGGATGTGACCAGTTCCCCAGTTGCCTTTTTCTGGGTGACTGTGTGTAGCCGTTGGCGTTGGGGTTTGGTTTTGAAGATGTACAGAAGACTTTCGAATTTTTTTTTTTTTTTTGTTTATAATTTATATTAGAGTATGACTAATCAGTCTTTCTCTACCCCTCTCAAGTTATGAATTTTAGATCTTTACCTTAGAATCCTCGTACCCTTAATTACTTAAGAGTATTTTAAAAGTAAAAAAAATTAGTTAAAATTTTATTTTAATTTCTATATTTTAATAAAATAATTTTTTTAGTTTCTCTATTTAAAAATTTTCTATTTTAAATTTTAAAGTTTGTTATTTGATATATTTTCAGTCATTTTATTTTTATTTTAAAATACATAGCGCATAAATAGCAAAAATTTTTAAATAGAAAGATTAAAAAGATTTTTTTAAGTGGAGAATTTAAAAAAAAAAAGAGTTTTTTTAGTCTCTTTTTAATTTTTTTATTTTAAAATGTATAAAGTATATAAAAAGATAACATAGGCCTAAAAAATGTTAAATAATAAATTTTAGGGACTAACAACATATTTTTTTTACATAAAAAAAAAAAAAACCAAAAAGGACTTAGAGTAAAGAGATCAAAATGAAGTTTTAACCAAGAAAATTTATGATTACTTACAGAAAGTCATTTTAAAAATATTCCAATTCACAATTTTGGCCCAAGGTGTTAGCATGTTGTAGTAGACCTTGATTATTGCAAGAAAAAAAATTTGTAGCATCCAATCTACAAATCAATTGCACTAGGTTTGATGAGAGTTTCTCATGTAAAACGACCTCATCAAATGTGGACATATTACATTTGGTTATGAAGTTTAGTTTTTTTCAAGTAAGATAATGAACGAGCTTGATAGAATGTGATTTGATCTGAACTTGATAGTTGATACCAATAGTATGTAGGTTTCTGAATTCTATGACATGGATTTTTCCCACCCAACATTCTGTAACGAAGCTTTCACATGAAAAAAAATTCTGCAATGAAGCTAATTTCATGAAAGAGAGTTTTTTATTTTATTTTATTTTATTTTTTAAATGGAGCATTTGATTTCAAAAACAGGGGAAAAACTGTTCAACGCAGGGGCAGGGGCATAGAAGTCTCTAATTGTTAGGAAGGCAATTGAAAAAGGGACCAAAAAGTTAGAGAAGCAAAAGGAAATCTTAGATTGCAATTCATCCAAAACTTTGCTTGAATGGCTAAAATAGCGATCCAAATTAAACAGGAAGAATTTGATACTGACCCATAACAATCTGGATTGGAATGAATGTTGTGGTATTAACAACACTGTTAGAAACCCAGGTTGTTGTGGGTTGATGTTATACCCAATTTGGTCTAAGTAACCTATATGACATAGTCAAAGAGTTAATAATAGTGTCTTTAATTTGCACAATTCATGAACAATACATTTGCCCCAGAGCATAAATTAGTGCATGCAAATGTTTGTTTTTCAGGAAAGAAAAATAAAAATCAGTGCCTTCAAATAACAAATATACGATCACTTCAATAGGGAAGGCAACAAGTTTTCTGTCAAGTCATCCAGCAAACACCAAGCAGAATCAACCCTACATGATTGAATCCAAATATGGACCAACAAGAAAAAAAGGCAAACAGAACATAAAATTAACCAACAGGAAAACAAACAGAATACAAACGTAAACCAACACAAAGTATAGAGAATAAGCAACAATTACAGACCGTGAAAGACTATTCCCATTATTCATCATGATCAATGTTAAGTGTCTCCTTGTTGCTTGATAAAATTCACATTCCTTCCTGGACCAGCTAGCAATACCGGTCGGTGTAGCTAGTCCAAAACTGAACATTTAAGTTGGAAGGTGGGTTTAAGGTTTCAACTGCATAACCTTCGTCCATTTTTGGATCCAAATCAATCTTCATCTCTTGCAAATGGATCTTATCATGAAGTCTTGCTCTCCGAACCTCATCTGCATCTATGGAATATCCGACGAACTTCACCCAAGCCAACAAAGGTGGCACAGTTTTTCCGGATCACCAGTACAAAATTCTTTAGGATCATTGTGATCAACCCTGATGTTAACCTCAACCAACTCCCTGAGAGAAGCTAATCTCCCCATTGATTTTGGGCACCAAGTTAGATCAAAGCAACCTGCAGCACGGAAAAACCTCAAGTTGATCAATTTCCCGATCCCATCTGGTAGTTCTTCTAGACTATAGCAACCGTTTAGATCCAAAGACAGCAGATTGCATAATTCACAGATTGCTTCAGGCAACTTTTTCATATTCTCAATGTAAGAGAGGTTAAGGGGCCTCAAATGCATCAACTGCCCTATTTCATCAGGAATTCCATTTTTTAAAACATTGAGCTTCCCATCAGCCCAACCAAAATCGAGCAAACGCAGACGTTTTGACTGTTTAAATAAGTTGCACAATGCTCCATCACTTATTGCCTCCGGTCCACAAAAGGTTACCACACTCCGCAGCTTTTCTGTGCCATAAATTGAGGAAAAGTAGTTCGTCCTGCCAGCATTACTGTCAAATGGCGAGCTTTGGGCTGTAACTCCACGGTTGAGTTTTCACCAGAAGCAACCTTCTTTGTTGCAAAATCACTTTCTGTCAAAAACAGGACAAAGTCATGTACTATGTCATGCATCTTACATTTAAATATGCTACCATCTTCAAGTCTTCCAAAATCTTGGAACAAGGAGCGAGCTGCCAAATAATCAAAATACTCCCTGCCCACTAATTCCATCTCTACATTGCTACTAGAATTCAGATAACCTTGAGCCATCCAATGTTGGATTACAAGATACTTCCATATTTCAAAATCCTTTGGAAAGATAGCACAATATAAAAAGCATTGTCTTATTACTGAGGGTAAATCATAATAACTCAACAAAAGAGGAGCAAAGATATCTTTCTGTATCATTTCTAATGTCCATATTTCATTGTCTAGAACATCTCTCCACTCTTCTCTTGTTCTTTTATACCGCAACAAACTCCCTAAGGTCTTCGCAGCAAGTGGCAGTCCTTTACACTTCTCGGCAATCTTCCACCCAATGTCATTCAAAGCTGAACATTATTGCTTGTCCCTATTGATGAATGCTATCTGGCTAAGTATGGACCAACACACCTCTTGAGACAGCTCTTCTAGACGGAAGACATGGGAGGATTCCATCATCTCTACAACTGTATCCTTGCGAGTAGTCACCAAAATCCTACTTCCAGGAGCTCCATGTTTAAAAGTCTGTTTCAGTGAATCCCAACTATGACCGTCCTCTGTCCACACATCATCTAAAACTAGAAAGAATTTCTTTCCTCCTAAGGAATCACAAATTCTTTCTAAGAGGCTCTGAAGTGGTAGTGAGCTTAAGACAAACACCGCAGTAGGACCCAGACCTTCAAGTTCAATGATGATTGCTCTTGCAACTCTGGCCTCATCAAAGAGATCAGAGACACACGCCCAAACCCTCTTGTCAAAGTGTGTCTTAATTTGATCATCATTGTAGAGGATTTGTGCAAGAGCTGTCTTGCCAATACCTCCCATCCCTACTATAGAGATGGCCTGGAGGTGGAAGTCACTAGACTCTTCACTGCTTCCACATAGCAAGTGGCTAATTATCCTTTTCTTTACCTCATCTCGTCCATGGATGGCAGAACCATGAACGAAAAATGTGGTTCCTATTTCTGGTTGAATTTGAGGCTGTCTAATTTCCCTCGACACAAAACTAAACCTATCTTTCTGTTTAGCAATCTCATCTAATCTTCCATTGATTTCTTTTATTTGCACAGCAACACCATGGAGCTTAACAACTCGTCGAAAGCAAAAACAAGAGATAAAATGACACACCTTTTTCTGGAGGACAGACACAGCATTTTGAGCTTCATTCATTTTCCACTTCAAAAGTGCAGTATTCCACTCATCCAACACGTCCCCCATGTCAAGAGATGCTTCTTTGAGCCGATGTAACCAAAGTTTGATCCTTTTGTCCCTCTTCTCCCTTTCCTCTGCATCATCAAGGAGAGCACGGACAGACTCGAGATTGCTTCTCATCTTGTCAATTTCCTCCTGTGCACCCTTTATTAGCCTCACCTTTTGCCTTGCTTCCTCGAAGATGATTGTTGTTAGCTGCTCCAAGACTGCATAAACAAGTGCATCTGCCATTTTGCTAGAGAATCAGGTTACCTCCCGTCCCCGGTCATTTTGTTTTGCAACTCTGATCTGTTTTGTTTGTTGGAGCTACGTCAAAGCTGCAAGACAATGGTAGCAAAAGCTAAAATGAGAGCTGCATTACAGCAGTAGCATGGAGCCACCCAAACTTCTCCATCAAAGTTAATATGTTAGGTAGAAATTATAATGTGTTACGCAGAAATTATTGTATATTGCACTGGGCAGAAGTTATTGTGGTAGGTAGAAATTAGTGTTTATATATTATGAGGTTGATGGTATTTAATGGTAGAAGAGGAATGAAGAAAAGGCAAAAGGTGCAGATCACCCCCTAAACTCAACAACTGGTGGCAAATCACCCCCTCAACCCACTTCACGCGCAAATCAACCCCTCAACTCACCTGCAGTGGCAAATTAGCCCCTCTCTTAACCCTTCCGTTAACATTTAACAGTCCGCTCATCAGCCCTTCCTCTGTATCTGACGTGGCCTTCTTTTTGCTGAGATGGATGCTGAGGTGGAGGCACAGTTGGACAAATACCTCAAAATCAGCAGATTACGCAAATTACTTTTATAACCTTAAGTTGTTTAGGGAATAAAATTGGGGATTTGGGGATTTAGGGATTTAGGGATCAGCTTCTATCATCTTTGTCTTCTTCCCTTCTTCGTCTTTGTTTAGCAAGATCTGCAATTCATCGAGCATGGGGTTCTTCGTCAAGCTTTGAATCTTCTGTCAAATTACCATATTTTGAGGGTATCTAGGCTTTTATTTTGTTTGGCAGGTTCTATCATCTTCTTCCCCTCTTCGTCTTTTAAAAATTGAACCTTTTTTTAGCAAGATTTGCAATTCATCAAGCATGGGTTCTTTGTCAAACTCTAAATCTTCTGTGAAGTTACTATATTTTGAGGATATTTAGGGTTTTATTTCATTTTCCAACTTCTATCATCTTCTTCCCCTCTTCGTCCTTTCAAAAATTGAACTCTTTATTATCGAGCATAGCTTCTTGATTGATCCCGGATGCTGTTTTTGGTCTCTGTATTGTTTAGTTTCGTTTGATAAGTTTGCATATGGAAGAAATTATTGTTTTTTGATGGCTAATTTGCATTTGATTTAGTTGCATTTGTTGCTCAATTCGATCTAGATCTTTGTTAAGAAGACAAAAATGGCTCATATTTGTTGGTTTCAAGGGGTCTTTTGGGATGCATTTCTGGAGAAGATCTGTTCTTTCTGTGATTTTAATTGGCATTATATTTTTGTATTGGATCTGGTAATTTTCTGGTGGATCTTGATGTTGGTTTTGCCATGGTTAATTACTTGTTTATTGGGGGAAATGGGGATGGGAACTAGAGCTTTTAAATCAATTTGATGCACAGAAAAGAAGCAATTTTTTTAACACCAAATGATATGTACAATATTTTATCACATTGAATTTTCGATGGCTCAAGCCTCAGATCTGCTATTTGTTTTTTCTTGTGTATATTATATTTATGATTTCTGTTTTCTTTTGTTGGAGTTTTAGAGCATATTTTGGGTTGTTGATTTGTCGATGTTGTTGTATACTTTTTCATATTTATTAAGGTTGGTTGATGCACAAAATTACTGCCTCTTGCTTTAATTCTGAATAATTTCTGTATCTTCTTAATTTTGTAGAATTGCTTTTGCCAATAATTTCAGTATATTGGGCACACTGAAGAGCCTGTCGGGAATGCCCAGGGAGTTCCACTTTCGGGATTTGAAGATGGCAACGAACAACTTTGACCAAAAGCGGAAGCTGGGTCAGGGAGGATGCGGGGTAGTCTATAGAGGGGTGCTAGAGAAGGAGAATCTGGAAATTGCCGTGAAGAAATTCTCAAGAGACAGTATGCAAGGCAAAGATGATTTCTTGGCGGAGCTGACCATCCCATTTTCCCATTTTCTTGTTTTTATCTATAAATGGATTAAATTTTGTCCATAAACAAATGATTACTCAATTGCAATTATTTTGGGTTTGATTTAGATTAAGTTTTTCTCAATTGTGTTTTCTAAGGATTCATCGAGATAATAATTAGTATATTTTTTTATAATTAAATTATATAAAAAAATAAAATTTAACTTTAATTTTAATAAT